TATTTATTTCTAGTTATTGGTGAATCTCTGTTTTAGAGAGATTAACAACTGGATGTAGGTTCTTTTAATCTAAATCAGTATAAAAATCACCTGCCTAAGTTTCTCTCTTGTATACTCTTTTATTTACTTGCTCTTATTTGAATTGATTTTTCTATTATGTGAAGTTAGTTTTTTAAAAGGGGAGTTCGTTTCACAAGAAGTTGGTTTTAATGAAAAACCAGTTCTTCCCCTTTTTGGTTATTGTCGAACACCGAACATTCTACAATGTATATTTCTAACAATTGGTATCATAGTTTGTTTTGATAGTTTTTCAAAAGTTTACGAAAATGATTGGATAACACCAAATTTATGCTAAGAGTGGTGCCTCCATCAACAAACCCCCACTTTTTAACAGTGAAAAGTATCATTTTTAGAGAGTTAGAATGCAAATGTTTTTGAAGTCTATTGACAAAGATGTTTGGGAAGCCGTTTTAAATAAACATTTTCACCCTACTATTATTGTTAATGACGTGAAAGAGTTAAGCCATACTTGTAGTGGACTGTTAAGGGAAACCAGAGAACTGAGTTTGATGTGAGAGCTCGCAATAGAATTTCCTCTACTTTGGACTCCTCACTATTACATTTGGACAATTATATCAATTTATAATACTTCACCTAAGGCAATCCAACGCATCATATCCCATTTAGTATTTCAAACAACTAACTAATCAAACATAACAATATATTTTACAACCAAAGGACCTAATCAATTTAAACATCCATTTCAAATTCTTAATTTTCTCTTGTCAAAATAACCAACACTTTATTATACAAAAACCACAAAGTGTTATAGTGCATAATTTTAAGTCAAACATCAAGCATTGGATGTAATTGTTTAATTAAAAAAAACATCAAACAACAATAATAGTATCCCAAAACAACATCAAACAATAATGTTTACTAGTATAAAACGTTGAAACAACCAGCAACAATACAAAAAACAACAATTATTTAAGTGCTACAATAGTAAGTAACAATGTTGAAAAGAATAATGATTTATGTATTGAATTCTTAAACAACAACAACTCAATAAAATCTAAACAACAACAACAAAAATAAAAATCTGGACAACAACAATATTTTAATCAACAAGTTGAGCATTTAGCATGTTTCTTTCTTTGTAAGTTTTTAATCTTTTTAAGGCTTATAGAGGGTTTGGTCAAAAACATTATCTTGAAACCTTTTTGCTTCTTGAGAGTTTAACTGAATATCCTTGGGTACAAATAGCTTACGCATTTAGCTTAACTCTCTTTCGACACTTTGACTTGTGGGTCATTTAGCATTGTCTCTAGAGGCTTTTATCCTACTTGTTTCCCTACGTGTTTTCCTAAGGCTTTTATCCTACTTATGGAAATCTTGTTTCTAGCATTTGTGTTTCTATCTATCCAATTTTTTGGGCTTAGGTATTTTCAGATTCTTATCTCATTTAATGTTATTTGATTAAACTTCAAAACATGAGACTGTTTGGACGTGTAGACGATTTTGTCGTAACACCACCCACTCTTGGTTTCCACTAGGTAATCCCAGTATCAACCTGATACACTACCTAGCTAAGTATTTAACCCAACTGAGTTAATCATCAAGTGTTTGAATTCCTTTGGAATGTGCAATCAATGAGATTGTTTACAAGTCTTAGACGATTACCCTCATAAAAAGGATGTGTTTACAATACAACTCAAACTAGCAGACATTGTAGGTCTTTCATTCCTCATACAAATGTAAGCTTTTGACTCTATATATAGCTCGGACTGTATTCTCAAACATGTTGTTCTCTCACGAGGGTGATTTTTGCTTAATGGTACTTGTGTGCCTATCCTTTAGATCTTCTCATCCGGTGATCTTCTATTTATAGGCTTCATGAGAAAATATCCATTAGATGATGCTTGTCTTTGATCTTCAAGTCATCCTAGCTTTTTTCATAGGAAGCAACCATAGGTTGAAGTCTACATGTTAGAGTGGGCATGCATTTTTAGTACTTTATCAAAAATAGGTTGTATGAACTTTTTATGGTGACTTTTGATGGTGAGAACATTCCATGTGTCTTCTTTGTCTCTAACATCCACTTCTGACTTATATATGATAGAGTATGTGGATACTTGACATAGACAACTGCAAAGCGTAAAGTAGATATGCATGCAGGAAAATATGTCTTATCACTTTTGTTGTTTTAAAACATTATGCATTTAATGCTCTTTAATGTGTGTTCAGAACAACTATGTTCTTTTCAAAAAATTTATCGTTCAAACAAGATTTGATCGTTTAAGCATTTTTGAGAAGATACCAAGTAATTCATAAAGGTTTCATCATTGGATGTAGATATCAATTTGCACAAAGAAATCATTTAGCCTTTAGGAGGTGTTTACTAACCGCCCATCTTTTAGTGATCTCTGATAAGTTCAACAGTGTGTTTAGGACAATGTTTCTCAACACTTTTATTTTTGGAACATTTGTTTATAGGATTTAGCACATTTTTTGAAAACATCATTAACACATTATTTTGCAAGGCATAGTGAGAGTTTATTTAGCATTATTCAGCAATATATAGCAAGACTCTCTTATAACTTATTGACGTGTTTTGTAAGGATATTGTTTAATATAGTGCATCTACTAAGATATTAATGAGTTTATTAAATATTAAAATTTTTCTTTAAACATTAAAATCTTACAATGCTTTTTCATAAGATGCTTCTCATTCAACGATATTGTTTTTACAAAGATAATAATTTGTCAAATGCTCATTTCATTTATTGTTGTTCATTAAACCTCAAAACGTATGAGGATGCTAGACAATCCTATCTTGTCTTAGCAATCTTTTTCTCCTCTTATAGCACTGATTAATTTTGTGACAAGAACTTTTTGTATTACATCTCTTCTTAGGAGTGAAGTGTCATCCTTTAGACTTAAATGTATATTCTTTCATTTTGTGCATATGTGCTTTAGACGATGTTGTAACACTTGTTTTATTTGACAGATTTTTGCACCTCTTACATGGCGAGATTCACTTAGACACTTTAATACACATTACTTTATGAGTTTGTATATGTATAGTGTCTTAACAAATCTATGTAGCTTTTCTTATTGATCAGACGCTTTTGCTCAAGGATATGTCATGTCATTTTAACTTATCTCTTTCGCTTTTTAATATTTATACGCTTTGTGTAACCTAAGATAAATCCTTTGATTTTCACTCTGATTTAGCTTTACGCTTAAATGATTCTAATTTGTCAATTATTTGGTGTTCAAACAGTTTTTCTTATGACTTCTCGAGAATTAAATTTTGTTCTTTCCGAGATATATCTATGTTTTTTTTTTCATTTTCTTAGACATTTGATTACCCAAGATTATGTTGTTTATTAAGCTTCAAAACTAGAGATGCATCCAATCTCTTCTCTAAACGATCTTGTCTCAACAGAAGAGATGTGTCTCTTCATCCAAAATGGGTAGTATAAGAGACTAGAATTTGAGTGTTGCTCTTTCCTCTTTCGAAAGGGTAGAAGGGGATGAATATCTCATGTGTAGGGTTCCAGTTCATGTTGAGTATAGTTCCGAAGGGAGCAACATTGAACTTTTGCTCATAGGCTTGTAAGGATGAAGGGAGATAGGTCTGAAGCTGTGGTGAAGGACAAATTGTATAATTCTGTTTTGGTAAATAGAAATGGTGCAGCGAAGTATGGAAGATGACATAAATTTATAAAGATGGTTGGTATTGACACGAGTTGCTTTTTATTGACATGTTGCATAGAGCTAATGGGTTGTTCATGTTTTTGTTTTAAGAGAAAGTATGGGTTGCTATTGTATTGTTCATTATAGTCTTAATATGTATTGATGTTGTTAGAATAAACTTAATGACTGTGATATAAATGTTGTATTGATATTTTGATGTTTATTCTGTTAGTTCACCTTTGCTTGCTTGTGTTTGTACACTGATTGTATAATTTGTGTCATTATACGAGAGTAGATGATGTTATAAATAATTAAGTAGATACTTAAAGCGATGAGGTTATTGAGTTAATGAAAATTTTATTTTCTTTTAGGATATTTTGAATATTATTGATATTTTTCTATTATGTTGAACGGGCTATTGTTTGTTTAGAGGTTGTAAATGTTTATTTCGAATTTTCGTTTAATAACGTTTAAAGAATTTGAGACTTTTATTATGGTTATTGGTATCAAATTGATGTCAGGTTGATTATTTTTATTTTTCGCAATAAAAACGATTTGATCGGTCCTGGATGTTGTTTATTACATTAGTCAATACTTTAAACCTTATATTTAAAACTATTTAACATGTGTAAGTTTTACTTTTTATCCGTTTATTTATGAAATTTAGATTCTTGTTAAAAATAAGCACACAGATATTTCGTTCTAGAATTGATTATTATATTCAACTTTATTATTTATCAGAAGGTTATTTTACTTTTATTGTAGTTTTCCATTTAAACCAAATTGATAACCTTAAATCGTTAGTCTAAAAAATATTCACAATTAGTATTTATTTTATAATTAAATAAAATTAACATGTTTATTTTCACGTAAAACAAATGTGTAATTAAAGTAGACATATAACTATCATCTCAGTTTATAACTTCCAAGATTTAACGATAGCCGTAAAATATATAAAACCTTGCTAATTTGACTCCAAATTTATTTGATCACCAAATGTGATTTTGCTACCAATATCTATTTGTTTCCAGAAACGTGTATGCAAACATATTGTTGCAAACGTTCTCTGAATCATCCAGAAAGAAACTTTCATAGGGAGCATCGATCAACAACGACACATTATTCACTAAAACTAAATATGCAATTTTCCTAAAAGTTCACCACAATTAGGCCTTCACTTATGAAGCCATCAATGTTTTAGCAAACATGAATATGTAAGAGAAAGTTTAGATGAAACTAGATTGTAATTAAAGTTTTTGTCTCCCTAAATTACTATAAAATGCAGCGTAAAGTAGAGCTAAATATTAAAAACCATTTGATTATTTCATTAGCCAAAACTGCAAACCACAATACGTACCCAAAAGGAAATTACAAGCCACACTATGTTGAAGGCTCAGTTGCATCCACGCCAATGCCTGTAAGACATAATTCTGCTTATTCTACAACACATGGTCTTCAAAGAAACAACGTAGCTTCAAGTTATGGAGAACATTATCACTGTTTCTCACAGTTATAACACAAACTTTGGATCGTAGAGAGCACCATAGATTTTAACAAAGAAGCTCATGTTCATGGAATGGGATAGATAACAACTTTTCCAGTTGCCCTGTTTGTTTCCAGATGGGCAAAGGCTTCAACAGCCTGAGAAAATGGAAAGGGGCTCTTGGGGTCAAGTATTGGCTTCAACTTACCACTCTCAAAATAGGGGTTTAGTTTCTCTAAAATACCCCCATCAGTACTGAGAATGAACAATATAGCTGGAGGAAACCCAGGTGGTACTATGGTCACAACTTTGCCTCCTTCTTTCAAGGCCTTGAATGCCAGTTCAGTTTGCCCTGTTTTGGAGTTCAGGCAAAAAAAGTTAGTGTTCCACAGGATACATGAATAACTTCATGGACTTCTTCTGATAAAAGAATGGGTTCAGAATCTGACCTACTGTATCATACACCACATCAAACTTTTCAGACAAGTCTTCAAAATTCTCTTTAGTATAATCAATTGGCAAGTCAGCCCCCAAATTGCTCAATAACTCCAATTTTCTGGTGCTAGCTGTGGCTGCTACCTTGGATGCTCCATATACATGCTTTGCAAGCTGTGTGAACAAGGCATTATTGATTACAATCACTTTCCAGGAAATATTGATATGGAAGTTTTGAGACCACAGGAAGACATAAAGAGTTGACAAAGGATCATTTATGAAAAATCACATTATACCCTTAAGAAATCTATGGATAAGAGAACAGAAAGGATAGATCTAAAAAGGCATATGGATTAATGAATGAATACATTGCAGGAGGTGTTACTCTACCTGAATAACATGGGTTCCAACTCCACCAGCACCTCCAAGCACAAGGATAGATTTACCTGCAGAGAACCCAGTTCGTTCGAGGCCTTCATAAGCTGTCTCAAGTGTTAAAGGAAGGCTAGCAGCCTCAAAAAAGCTCAGACTCTGTGGCTTGTGAGCCAATAGTCTCTCTTCTGCAGCAGTGTATTCTGCCAAAGAACCAATCACCTTCGGATATTCCAAAGCTTTCAAATTGATATCACCGTAGACTTCATCGCCAACCTTGAATTTCTTCACTTCACTTCCCACTTTGACCACCACTCCAGCAACATCAAATCCCGGAACAGTCTTCACATCAACCCCCCAGCGTAAAATAATAAATCAAATCAAATACGAAAGAAGAAATTAAGGATATAATTAGAAATTGAAAAATTCCTCACTTTTTTATGACCTTTAGCCATTTTTTTATTTTTAGTTATCCACTCAAATGTATGATTTAGTTATCCACTTTTTTAATACCTTAGCCACTTTTATTTTCCTATTAAATTTTAATATATTTTTATTTTTAAACTTTAAAAACAAATGAATATGATTTTTTTAATGAAATGATATTATTTTTTAAATATAAAAATATATTTCAAACTAATATTTAAGTTAAAATATCTCAAAATATTAAACTAAAATCTGTTTAATAAATTAAAAAAATTAATATTAAATTAAAAAAATTACGTTTATTTATTTTTAAAATTTAAAGATGAAAACATATCAAAATTTATATAAAAACAAATTTTATACGTTTACATTTAACTTTTTTAGAAAAGTATAACAAGTCACAATCAACCAAATGTATTAAAAATAGATAATACTTTTGACAATATTTTTTTGTATTTACGTATCATTATGTGTTGTATTATTCATTAAAAAATTAATGTGTATTAAAAAACTCTAAGTCTGTTTTTTTGCTGGGATTTGTCACTGCTCAAACGGACTTTTGGAAGCGTATAGAAATGCTTACCTAATTTCTTCATTCAGAATTATTTTTATTTGAGATAAATATTTTATAAAAAGGCATGCTTTTGCGTACCTTGTCTAAAAACATACATTTAAAACAAAAAATATTTCAAGTTGGTAAAACTAATTAGTTTTGAATCCATTCAACATCAATTCCAAATTGTAAATGAACGACAAACAAAATTTAATAATTGGTGAATTAGAATCTGGATCTGAGCAGTCAATTATGAGAGTTATATACACTATTTTCCTGGTGCATGGTGCCATCGCTTTAGTTTATGAAGAATATTATAGGTGACCCAATAACATATTAATGATAAAGAGATTAAACCTCACCGACATAAACTATTTATCTTATCTCAAGCCAACTTAGATTATTCTTTTTTCTTTTATACATGGTCACCGTAAAAGGTTAGTTATCAATAAAATGAGTAAATCATTTTGTATAACTACTAAGACAGGAAAAAACAACTTCCTTCTCTAATCAACAGATTCCAATTTGACCAAACCTATGTATTAATTATCTTATACATATAAGGTTTTTACTTTATAGATAAAAATTATTTTCAATATATATAAGTGGGTAATAGTCCCCTTTTAAATTGGAAATTATGTAAAAATGAGTTAAGCTCAATTCCTACTAAAATCTTCATATTACATTATTATTTTATAGAGTAAATAATCGGTTTCACCAAACCTATGTTTTAAGTGACTAAGTTCAATCAAAGATAAATTTTATTTTAAATATATAAGTGAATAATAATCCCTTTTTAAATTAGCAATTATGTAAAAATGTGTTAAGCTCAATTCCAAATAAAATCTCTATATTTCATTATGATTTCTTAAAAAGCAAATTATCAGTTGAATATAATAAGAATTAAACTATTTCATTTTTAGTATAATAAAAATAATAATTAAGTTGTAGTATAACAATTTGATTATCTTAATTTCATTTAAATTTTGTTAATACTTAAGGTAATTAAATAAATATTTGGCTTTTAATAATTACTACGCGTGTCGATTAAATGAACAATTAACGTTAAGTTAACGTCGAAGAAATCAATAAGAATACTAAATTATAAAATAAATAGTAAAAAGTGAAACACTGCAATGAAATATTAAGGTTAATTTTTCTTTTAACAATCAGATATAACAATTCCCAAAAGTCGAACATCTGTTCAATTTTCTTAAACATTAACGAAATTAAGACAAAGTTAACAAAAATTAAAATTATTATAATTTAAAGTGAGAAAAAGTTAGAAAAAAGCGAAGCATAACAGAAATTGGGGGTAATGAAATAATGTTACTTACGGGTAAAGGGGAATCGGAGTTCTTGAAATGACCTTCCATTCTCTTGTAATCAATGGGGTTAATGGAAGCAGCAGCGACCTTGATGAGGACCTGATCTTCCTTCACCGGAGGTAAAGCCACGCTGCTGTTAAACTTGAGAACTTCGCCGGATTTGCCATACTCCGAGTAAGTCCAAGCTTTCATGTGAGAAGGCACTGATGTTGCAGCCATTCTCCTTCTGCTGCTCGAACAACAATGAAGGAAAGTAGGAGTCAGATGCAGAGTGAATGCAAAGGGAAAGTGGTTTAAAGAATAAATATCAGCATTGTTGACTTATGGTGACCATACGATTAGAAATGCACGTTTAACCTCATTAGTCGTTGATTCGGAGCAATAATTCCTTATTACTGTACTTTTCATCCAAGGAACTAGTTTTTTTTATTATAAATTAACTCAATCAAATCATGCATAATTTTGTTCATTAGTTTATAATTTTGTTCATTAGTTTATTTCATTAGGAAATATAAGATATGTTTTATATTTTATTTAGATTAGATGATGAAAAATATCAAAGTGAGTGAAAAGGGAAAATAAATATAATAAATAATAAATTTATTTAAACAAAACAAATAACTAATTGAATGTATTTAATTACTTTTTATTAACCTTTTTGTTTTCTAATTTATCATTTTAATCATTTAAGCATAATCAACTATCTTTTCTTTCTCACTTAATGAATGACGAAAAAAATTAGTATCCTTCGTGGGCAAAATGGGTAAAGAATATTAACAAGATATGTTTAATGGCTTATCTGCTATTTGACTGAACGAATATAAATATTATGGTATCCAGTAGATACTTGGTACATATTAAAAATTAATTTTATTTGAATATTTTAAAAAAATATCAAATTATCAAAATAAAGTTATTAGTTAAAAAATTATTACCAATTGAATAATTACTTAAAACTTTCACTTTATATATTTAAATTGTTTACTTAAACATAAGAAATTAAAGTTATTTTTATAAAAAAAAAGTAATAGTTTAGAATGTATTTTAGTACAACTTATTTAAATTTATTTTCAAAAAACAATTATTGACATTAATATTTTAATGTGTAATTTTATTTAAAATTAATATATATATATATATATATTTTGTAGTTATCCATTGAATATTCGCGAATGCTTTTTATATTTATGGGTTTTTTTTTCACACTTATCTGTAACAAGATGAATGTTTTAGATAAGGTAAATAACGGATAGATAATACCTATTTTTAACTCCACACAAATACTTTAGAGTTAATATTGTATTTTTTAAAAAATTTTCTTCTTTTTCTTTTTGCGTTTTTCTTTGTGTTTTCTTCTTTTTTTTCATTTCTTTCTTCAAACTTTTTGTGTTTTAAAATAAACAAGACGGAAGTAAAATTGCGATAAGCGAAAATATTTTGAGTTATTTTATTTAACTAACAACAAATCCTATTTTCAGTTGTTCAAAAACATTTGTCATTTGAATTTAACAATCAACTATTACCTAAATTTATGATTTTAAATAAAACACACTTAAATATAATACTTTAAAATAGATTATAATTCTATTATGTAAATTTGGCAATATGAAATGCATATGCATATCTAACATGGTTATTAAGAAATGATTTCACAATAACGAACATATAACACCAGGAAGAAAATTAATAAATTAATAGAAGGCGAAGAGGAGTTAACGTTGAAAGTAATATAAACTTTTACATTTTTGAAATATTTATTGAAAAAATTACATTGAATTTTCCTTTATAGAACCATGTGTTTCACCGTGATAATTAATCTTTTCATATTTCTTCGTTCACTTTTTTGGTCTTTAGATAATTTTACACACTCTTATTTTTATGTAATGTAGTAATTACTATGAAAATAGTATATTAACTTTAGAAATGGAGTTTAATAAAAGATTATATAAATGATTTTTAAAATTTATTACAATAATGCAATGATTAACCAAAAATGTAATAATTGGAAAATGTTTTCAAAATATATTTTCAGGATACTTGTAAAAGACAACTAACGAATGTATAAGAGTAATACACAAGAAAGTATAAAACGTAGAATTTTATATCGATTTCCCTTTATTATGCTACACCTAGTTCTTCAATGGTTTTATCAATCAAAATTTGATTACAAGCATTTTCATATGTCCATATTGGCTTACATCGAATATATAAAAGTGATATCTTTCTCTAAGATAAAGTACAAGTATTTGTTTTTTAATAACAAACCACGTATAACAACAAACCATTATCTAAAAAGAAATATATATTTAAAAGATTATAAAGAAATCTTTTATGAGAGGATATAAACTATGAGCGCTACTTGTTGAGAGAACACACTTCTCAAATTGAAAGCTTTGTGTAACATCCAAATTATTGATTATGGTTTGCATTTTAGAAAATACTATATTTAGTGATTGAGAAAGTTTCATGAAAAATTTCACTAGACATTAATAAAATCAAGGTTATCTAGATATGAATATATATTTAAAGGAACTAAAGAGAAAAAAATAGAAAAATTATGACAAAATACAACAAATTGACTTTAGTGAGGCTATAGTGTGAAATATGAGGCTTAAGTCACACGAAGAAAACTAAGGAAATCTCAAGCCTTCACTTAAGGCTTAATTCATGAGACTTAATTAATGAAGAATCATTCACTTAGAAGTAATCTCAAGACACTCCAGCCTAAAAACACACAGCTTAAGTCATAGAGGAAACCAATGGAAGGAAACCTCACACTTGAAGCCAAAGAGGCCACCATTGAAACCACACTATGAGAGTCTAAAAAATAGGATTTCACCTCTATTTTAAGATAGCTTTTTGAAAAACTTTTGAGAGACTCTTTTAGAGAGATTTAGAGAGAGACTTTAGAGGTCTTCTCACACACTTCCTTTGTATTTTAAAAAACATCCTTAAAGGACTAGGAGATGAAGTTTTTTTTCTTGTATTAACTTCTTTCCATCCATTATGAGGAGCTAAATCTCCTAGGTGTTGAATTGAAATGTAAACCATGTCAAACTCTTTTGTATTCAATACTATATTTATTAATGAAGGTTTGCTTTTGATCACACATTTATAAATTGATTTATGCCTGTTGTTGGATGAATTGATTACTCATCTTATTTCACTAGCTTGAGATTGAGTAAACACTAGTTCCAAGTTATATTCTAATCAATTTTCTTGTATGTTTTTAGATATTAAGAATAAATCTAGAGCTACAACTAGATATAGAGTCTCAATCTTAATGTAAGTAATCCATTCAGGCGTCCATTGAAAAATCATACTAAAGTTTGGTGATTATAGGTTGTAGGTATCAAGAATGAACCTAGAGTTACACAGAACTCTCACAACTTAGTCATTTAAAGTATTTTTTGAATAACAGTCATTCTTAGCTAACCAAGTACCCACTCTTGGTTAAGATATTATATTTGTATTTGGTTAAGATATTATATTTGTATTTTAGTGATCAAAGATCACGTGATTGCTCACTAATTCTTGGCAAGTACCCACTCTTGGTTGGTTAAGATATTATATTTGTATTTTAGTTATCAAAGATCACGTGATTGGGCACTAGATAGAGAAACTGATAATCTTTTGATGTATATAAAATTTTATCTAGTTGATTGAATACAAGGTTTATATTTTTGTTGGCTTGGAAAATTTAACAACATTTGTTATTGATTTGAAACGTTGCCTTTCAAGTAAAGCACCGTATATCTTTGATCTTATGTTTCATATCTTTAGTTTAAGAATTCATGGTATAATAACCTTTCTTTTCAAACATTTTAGATAATGTTATTCCTTTAATGTTATTCTATGATTTTTTTTTCTTGATTAGGTTGTCAAAGGTGGTTGTTGTAAAATTCACTAGTAATAAAAGATCTTGTAGGGTTTTTTTAAAACTGTGTTGTGATTTTATTTTCGTATTTTCTGAAAAGTTATTCTAAAACTTAAAAATATAGTGAATTAATTTAATCAAAATATCACATGCTCACTTTTCTTACAGCACCCGTGGTGCCCTGTTGCTAAAAGGTGAGAAAACCACCAACCACCCAATTAAAGTAATCTAAATCAAACACCATCTTCACTAAAATTCCAAAGTGAGAATTCATATAGATGCCAGTTCCACAAGCTGATCTCCTGTATCCATACAAACAAAATTATCACAACAAAGAGAATTTTCCTTTCTGTACAAAGTGAGTCTCCTTGTCGAAAATATAGTAGGACAACTTCCATCCAAGAAAGGATAAAACTTAATCTAGCGGAGCAGATACAGTTTGCACACCTCACACACTGTATATGTATATATTATCTGAATCTTACAATGATAGAACCTGAGACAAGAGAGGCCAAGGCAAAGGCAACAAAAGCAACCAAAGACAAAGCCACAGATGCATTTGCCATGTAGGGGAACTTGTCCTCGCCCCAATTGGATATCCAGTCATAAGCTCTAGTGGCAGCCGATGATGATGATGACATAAGAAGGTATGTCAATATCTGCATTTGAAAACCAGAAGTCAGAAACTGGTAAGGTTTAGAATCAGGATTATAAGTTCAACTAGAGCGAGTCTAGAGTGAAGTGAGCATTTAGCTTAATCTCAGCCATCCTTTTGATAAACATTCATTCTAGAAAAGTGTCACAAAACAGGATCATAAATCAACACTCATTATGGTAAGGTTAATACTACCACCATCATTTATTTCTTGCTGGTGAAAAAACAAGAATGGATATGCAGTCCAGTCCATTTTTATAGCAGCCAGGTGATTTTATTTGGTTATCTTTGAAACAAATTTGGTATAAAGATAGTTGACCTATTGAAATAGTAGTATGTGTTTTGATTTCTGTTTTATTGACAACGCTTATTCGTTTATGCATTGAAAAGTTCAATACTTCCGTTCAATACTATTCTAATGGATTTCCAAACACACTTATTGCAGTTGAAATAACGAGCTCAAAGAATTAAGACGGTGGTGGGTAAAACCATTATCTATTTGAAGTGGTAAAACGTTTTAATCCATACTTTTTGTTGTTAAAGGCTCATAAGTTATCCTACTTTTCCGATAACCCCGCTTTCTTCTCAGCGTAACGTCCAATAAAAAAGCGAGAACACCAAACACGAAGAAACAGATTTCTGTTTACTAACTACTCACAATTAAACAGTAGAGCACTGATGTCAACGATCACACACTATAGGAAAAGAAATTAAATTACCACCCTGCCATTCTACCAATCTTAAGTCAGACATTTTAGTTTCAGAAGTTTTAAAATTCTTCTGTAAGAAATAAATTAATGACGTTTTGTAATGTAGAGTTTACAAATTTTATGAAGCTCAAGAATTAAAATTTTAACATTTACATACATGCATACATACAAATATATGAATATATATATATATATAAATATATATATATATATATATATATATATATATAATATATATATATTTATATCTATGGGATTTGCTAACGCGCGTACGCCGTTTTCAGTTGGTACATTTAGCAATGTGTACCGATTTAGAGACAAAATACCCTTATATATCAATGGATTCTAGTTGTAAGGTTAAGGGTATTTAATAATTTTCATTCTCAAAACTTAAAAAAAAAGAAACCTCCCAAACCCTTACTCACCATCTCTCATTCCTCTCAATCCTTTCTCTTTCATCTCTCTCATTCCAACCTTTTCTCTGTCATCCCTACTGTAGCCTCAATTGAAAAAATCAGAAACACTTGCCTTTAAACAATGTCTTTCTAAAGAGTTGAGTCATTGACATATTCACCTTGAGGCAAAGGCTCATTCAAGATCTCTTCAATTTCACCATCCTTTACTAATTTCTCTAATTTTCATCATCTGCATATGTTGAATCATCATCTCTAAAAAACCCTCCAGGCCAATTACAATTCTTTCAGATAAGACAAAAATTATAAAAATAAAACTCATTATAAGTCAATTTTTGTAAGAAATTGTTTAACAACAAGTATTTCTGATTTTTTCCAGGTCAATTACCAATTTCTTTATGCTTGTGAAAATTGGATAAAATTAGATAAGACAAAAATTATAAGATCAAAACTCATTATAAAATCATTTTTTTGTAAGATTGTGTTAACGGTTTCGATTTTTTTTCAATTGGGCTACAGTAGGGTGTTCTGATTTTTTCAATTGGGACTACAGTAGGGATGCAGAGAAAAGATTGGAGTAAGAAAGATGAAGAGAAAAGGTTTAACAGGAATGAGAGAGGTGAGTAGGGTTTGGGGGTTTCTTTTTTTTTAGTTTGAGAATGCAAATTATTAAAATACCTCTAACCTTAGAACTTAGAATCCATGATATATAAGGATATTTTTGTCTACTAAAACCCCGTACACATTGCTAAAATGTACCAACTGAAAAACAGGCGTACGCGCGTTAACAAACCCCATAATAATATATATATATATATATATATATATATATATATATATATATATATATATTAATGTTTACTATTGTTTGAAGTGAGCGTTTTAGTCTCAAATTGAGTTTTATTATTTAAACATTAAAGAATAGCTCAAATTTATAGAAGTTTATTTTTGTTTTTTTTTTAAATCTAGAATTGATCCTTTTACTCCTAGTAATTTGAAAAAAAAATGCTTCTTCTAGTACTTTTCCCTTAATATCATTAAGGATTTTGCTTGTATGACTTACAATTATAAGTTGTTTGCATAACAACCTAATTCGATTTTGCATTCTTATCATCAGCCTACTTGGAAGTACTCATATTGATTTTTGAGTCGAGGATCTAAATCAAGTTTTTCTTTTTTCAAATTACAATAACTCAAAACAAATTGAAAGATTTAAAACAAACCCAACTCAACTTTGAAGGACTATTATTGAGCATTTATAAATACTCCAAAGTTTAAGGACATAACTTTTTTTTGTCCCATTTCACTGTTTTCAAAGAACAATTTACTACAGTAAAGTTAGGGATGGCAAAAATAACTTAATTGCACTGCACGGTTAAAAGCATACGACAACACAAAACATGGAAAGAGAGCGAAAAGGTGGCCGAAAGGTGTTATACTTTTCGACATAAGATTTATCTCAAGATGGATTATTGGTTTTCACAGACCAATATTTCCAACTCCCAATCCCACTCAACAATACATTAGTCTTCGGTTGTGGTTTTTCAAATCATTCAATTATTATCATTATTCAGCACAAATCATGCCAGCCCCAATCAACATTACAAAATTCAGATTCAAAAAATTCAAAATCCAAGTGAGGCTTCTATCGATAGTGAACTAGTTAGTAGATAAAACACCCTTAATATCATAGATAACAGAGAGTAATGGCTTTACCTGATCCAGTGCGAAAGTGAAATAACCCCATAGCTGGTGATCCACCACGTGCTTTCCCGTAGCCAAGTACCGCCAGAGATCACAAATCTGCAGCCCAGAATGCATAAATCCAATCACATTCACTGACAAACTATACCTGCAAAATCACACACAAGATATTAAACCAACCCCTTAACTAATTATTACAAAAAAAACATTGCTAGATCGAACTTAGTAATATAATACCTGAATTCCTTGTACAAATAGAAAGAGTCGAGAGCCCAGCCGCGTTTCTTATCAGCGGCCAGCACGGAGAAAGATGCCAAGCAGAAAACAAAAGCGGTTATTCGAAGACCAAACAAGAGCTTGCTCCAGGTCGCGATTTTTTTCGTCTTTAACAAACCGGACACATCTGGTCTCAGTCGTCGATTACCGGCGGCTCCGGTGGCTTGTTCGACGTCTTTTACGAAACCCTCCTCGGCACCGAGATCGACCTTGGTCACCACCGCGGGCTCCACTTGGAACCGGTGAGCCGTAACCACCGGCGGAGAGAGACGCTGGTCGGCGATCGAGAAGTGGCCGTCGGAAATCGACGAGTCCGATGACGATTCGGGTGGCGGATTTTGAGGCAGCGGAGAGGAGTGGCCATCGGAGATGGGCGAGTCGGTGAGAGAATGAAGTGGCGGCGAAGGGGATTTGTGGGTTCGGAGGGAAGGAGAACTGACAGTGATAGATGGTGAGGGTTCCGAAACAAAGTAGAATTGATTTTCTTAGTTTCTCTTTTGCTCTGGGTCCTCTTCTTCTTGTGTGTCCCCTGAAACCTTTTCGGTTGGTTCCGTTGCTTTTTCTTCAGAATTCTCTTTCTTCATTTCTTTTTCTGCTTTGGTACTCACTCATTTGTTGGGTTTAGAAAAGAAATTTCTAACCCTCGTTTGCTTTGGGTATTGTTTTCTCTTCAGTACATTGGTAGTGCTAATACCTCACCATGTTGATTATCTTCTCTAAGCACGATCACAACACAATTAGCCTTTAGTAAGGATAGTTTGTAACTTCAGAATTCAACAGAAGAAAAAGAACACAACAAAAGATTGGAAGGACTAGGCCAATACATAATGTGTAAATCAATTACATTGCAAGTATCTCTTTATAGTTCAAGCAACGTTGTCCCACGGGGTGAATTAATGATGTCTACTACCAAAATTGGTTACTGTTCTAGTTTTCCTCTCTAGAAATCTGAATAAAATGGACAGACACAATAATATAAATAATTACCTCCATTTGGCATACACTTATCCAATACATGTCTTTTTTCAATTTTAAAAATAAATAATAAATAATGAATAGGAAATGTTGTTTAAATTGTTTTCTTTTTTAGACGTTCTTCTTTTCCTTCTTACCATTTTTTTTATTACAGGTTCACCTTAACTCTTTCTAAAATTAAGTCCTATTTTTGTTAGAACATTTAATAGTAGTTTTTTAAAAATCTCAACACAAAACCTAAGGTAAAGTGGATTCAGTAGGATTAGAAAGGAACTACCCCAAATTAAATTAATTTATTTTAATATATTTTTAGTTTTATTTGCTTTTATGTGCTTTACGAGTTTAATAATTTCTAAATTTTGTATAAAATTTTACTAATATATTTTTAATTAAATTCAAATATATAAATATTACTTTTATCAAAAACTATTCAAAATAAATATATAATTTTATTATTTGAAAAGTTAAAAATATATATTAAATTTGTTTAAGTTTAAATAAAGTAATTTTTTACTAATATCCTTTCTCTTTCAATATAGATATATAAATGTTGGTGTTATAAAAAATTATTTAAAATTATTTTTTAATTATAATCATATCTTAAATATATAATTTTATTATTTTGAAAAGTTTAAAATATAAAATATGTTGAGTTTGTTTAAAGTTAAATATAAAATCACTTTTATTAATATCATTTTTCTTAAAATATAAATATATAAATATTTGATTTTATAAACAGTTATTTAAAATAATTTTTAATTATAATTATATTTTAAATACATAATTTTATTATTTTGAAAAATTAAAAATATAATATATGCTAAGTTTATTTAAGCTTAAAAATAAGATAACTTAAAAAAATATTCAAAATATGTTATTCTTTATAAGTCTATAAATTATTTACATTTGAAAACAATTGTAAAAACACATTTTAATTCTTTCTTGTTTTGAAAGTTTTTATAAATTTATTTTGATAAACTATCTAAAAAATATTATATATAAATAAAATTTTAACTAATATTTAATTTTAACCTCTAAAATAAAATTTTAACTAATATTTAAATATCTTTTATAAACACTTCCCACTTCTTAACACGCCAGTGCCACCGGAGAAGAAGAAGAGAGAAAATGCTAAAAAAAACTAAAAAATATCTCATGTTTGGGGAAAGCTCTTTCAGAAACCTATTTTGTGCAAAAGTATTATGAAAAGTATTATATGTATTTCGAAAAGTATATTCCAAAATTATGTTATGAAAAATATGTTCCAAAATGTATTTCACATGTTTTGAAAATTTTATTCTAAATATCTCGTTCCGGTAATTTGTTCTGAAAATTCTGTTTCACTAAATTTCTTTCCAAAAACTTTATTTCGAAAGTTTCTAAAATAAAAAATAAAATGACATTTTCAAAAATTTGATGGATGCGGAAAGAAATTGATGGATGCAAGAAGCAATTACCTATTTGGCCATTCTAGTCCATGATTGGTCCTAACCTATAAGAATTTAGCAATATTTGATCTTGTGAATCTTTTTAATAACTTTTTTTTTTTGTCTTGTAGATTTTTTTAGTCCCAATCTACATGCGTTAGAGCTAAATTCCATATGGAATTATTTCACAAGTCTACTAATCTCTTTGACTTCGTTTATTCATCAAAAGTGTACCTTCATATTCTCATTATAGTTATTTTTTATCATTGGCCAAAAACATTTATGACAAACTCTAATCACTCAAGTTATTTAAACAAAACAAAATTCTCTTCTTCAATTCTAATAAAAGAAATATCAGTCGACAAACATTATTTTATGATTACTTATTACCACGGTTTTAATCCACTCAACATAAACATAATAAGTGATGTAATAATATACTTTTTTTAATAAATTACAAAATATACTATGACAATTTTAATTTCATTTGTTATAAAAAGTGACACACTGACTTTTTTTCTAATAAATTACAAAACATTTTATGATCATGGTAAATTCACATGTTATAAAACGTGGTAACATTTTGTTAACAAATTACAAAATATACTATGATGTTCTAAAATCACCGTCATAACATGTGATGCAATGATATTTTTGTAATAAATTACAAATACTTATTGAACTCTTTTCCATGTACTTCATAATTCTCACCTTGTATCTCCAAAATATCTATAATAGTCTTCTGAAAATATGTACAGCTGCACACATTACAGAAAAAAAATTACATTCAATCAAGTTTTAAAGATTACAAAAGGGTATCTCTCTTTTTATAGGTGAAGGAGAAGGCTAGAGTACATGAAATATTTATGAGTCTTTCCATTATTTAATAAGGAGTCTCATCATTAAATGAGGAGTTTAAGCATTAAATAAGAAGTCTAAGCATTAAATGAGGAGCCTAAACATTAAATGTGAGGAACCTTATTCTTTAATAGGGGGGCTATGAAAAGCTGAACTCATATTTCACATGAGTTTTTTAATGATGACAACATAAATGTTTTATAGTTTCTTGCACATGGCAAAATTATTGCTTGATTATATTTGTAATTGTGCTTGAACTATCTTTGATGAGTATTCATTGTTTATAAATGAATCTTTGATTAAAACACTTTGCACATTACATATATGTATGAATTAATCGATTACACAATTTGCATAATCTGTTACAATTCATCAGATATCAATACATGCTTAATAGTGGCAAAACATCAAGTTTTAACCGATTACATTATGGGTATAATCGATTAAAACTCGTAGTTATGCATGCACATGTTTATTGAGTGTATTAATGTGTTTTGAATGAAAAAGTTTTCAAAAATGCTTACGTATGAAACTTAACCGATTACATTAATTTCTTAATCGGTTAAATTTTATTTTGAATGAAACCTTTTTCAAGAATAGTCATAATTGTCATAACGATTATATTTTTAAATACTGTGGCTTACATGATTTAAGTAATCGATTACATGCTCTTGTTAGTATGTTAAATGATGTGAAATGTAAATCTATTAATGCAGAATGAATTGCTTAACCGATTACATTATTTGAGTAATCGATTAAATTGCGTCATACATGAAAAGATCTATAAATAGACGCATTGCTCTCTGTATTCAAGAACTTTAATGTAGCATCCCATACACCCTTGTCCATTGATTCCAAGGAAATCTTCATCCCGATTTTCCAAAAACGGTAATTCTCTCCCAGAAATAGTGGTGGCCTATTTGTGGATGTCCCTTCTTCAAATGTTTGAGATATGTTGGCCATTTGGGACTTTTTAATCGATTACACATAAAAGTTAACTGATTAAAATTCTAGTAATTTTCAAATTCCTAGGTCTTATACCAATTATTAAAAAAGTTATGCCTTGTATCTCAAATCAAGAGGGGTGAATTGGATTTTGCCTTAAAAAATTGTTCTTTTCAAAAGCTTTGCAAAATCTTTGGTTTTCTTGAAATCAATAAAACAAGTATGATGAATTCAACAACAAAAGAGAAAGGAGAGAAAGATCAACACAATAATATATATTGGTTCGACTAAGGCTACATCCAGTCTTCCTTTAACAACCTTAGTTGAAGGGATTCCACTATAATGATAGAGTTACAAGAATACAGAGATATCCCCTCTCAATGTACTTCTCACCCCAACTCAAAATCACTATACCAACAAGATGTGAATACCCTCACAATCTTACCAAAGCAGAGAACACTCACAACTCTTTAAACACCTTGAGAACAAGCTCAAATCTCAATGAGAACACCACGACTCTCTCCCCCTGGCAAACCTACATAGGAACACAATCCACATATTGCAAATGATGAAATTGATCTTCACAACAACACTTCAATAGTGCATATATGATTATAACACTTTAGCTCAGTTTTCTTAAAAGAATCTTGATGTATAAACCCATATTTGATCCTTGATCCTTCAAGATAGTTCTTGGACGTAATCAATACTTAATCAAAATGTTAGTTATGATATTGATAGCTTAAAAGATTAGTTTGAAATAGCGCACAACACAATTATATATAGGATTTATAAATCTTGATTAAATTTAATCGATTACATAATTTATGTAATTTGTTAAGCTTTTCTTCCTGTTTTAACAAATTTGCTTTTGTTTAAGTTTTAACAGATTATACAATGCATGCAATCGATTAAACAATTCATACAAGCCAACAATAAATTCATATGACCGTTAGAAACAATTAAGGCTTTAAATGAGATTGATTTTCACAAGATAAACTTATTTAACCGATTAGGAAACTTATGTAATCGATTATGTTCAACACTTAAGCAAAATTTCAAATCAATTTTCATTCTAAACAGATCAATGCACTTATCAAACATATATTGGCATAACAACGTGTTTTAATCGATTATACAACTTATGCAATCGATTACTACACAATTGTTTGCCCTTGTTAAGCATATCATGATATCTAGAGAAATCTATTATATTATATACTTTGCTTAATCGATTATTTCAACCAGAGATGTAATGTTCAGTATGTTTAAACTCATGATTTATTTGCAAACAATGAATACATATATTAAGTGTCTCAAGCACAAACACAATAAAGATAAATCAATTGTTATGTTATTTATTACGTAAGAAACCATAAAGCATTTTCTTGTTCATCATAAAAAAACTTAGGTATTTAGGGTAGATATGGCTCCCCCTATCAACATAGATAAAGCCTTATGATTGACCGAGGTTTTGGGAAGCTTACCTTTGTTTGTTTATGGTTGTATGTTATATGTGTTCTAGATTATCTTGATTTATAATCCTTGTTTTGATACATGTGTATATTATTATGATTATTTGTCGTAATTATGGGGTAAGAGTTTGTGTATGAATGGGTATAGGGTTTATATAATATTTGTGATGAGTTTTCCCTATGAATGTATTATGTATGTTTTGTTGGGTTATCCCAACAAAGGATTTGAAGCTAAGGGAGAACCAAGTTATGATACTTGGGGGTTTCCATGCAAATATATGTTGTACGTGTTTGGTTATTGGACTCCCTTCCTATGTGAAGAATATGTTACCAATGAGAAACATTGATGCTTTGAAGAATATGTTACCAATGAGAAACATTTGTATAGGAGTTATCTTTCAATTGGCACTTAGAAGTCTTATAACTTATTTTTTGTTATTGATTTTTTGCAGCAATAATCGATTATCATAGGAGATAATCGATTATCACAAGAAAAATAAAAAAAAGGTTTTGTCTCTGTAATAATCAATTATCACTAAGGTTAATCGATTATCTCTGTAAGTTTTAATATTGTCCAGGGTTTGGCAATAATCGATTATCACTAAGAATAATCGATTATCAATTTTTCTAAAACCCATAACGGCCTAAAATAATCGATTATCATTTATGACAATCCATAATCTCTTGCAGTTGGGAGTTGTCTTCTCATTTTCTAACCCTTGGCCTATAAATAGAAGCCTCTTAAACCTTTTACAGGTTATCTAAACTCTGGAGAGCACAAAATTTGTTCTGAGGAAGTTCTTAAATTTAAGTCTTAGCTTGATCAAGTCTTGAGAAAGGAGAAGCTTGTGTTAGAGAATTTTCATCTTCTTAGTTCTAATTTATAAGCATTATGCTTGAATGCATGTATGATGTGTTAAGTATGTTTCCACGTGATCTAGGTTTGATGTATGTATGTTTGAATGCTTGAATTTTTTCCAGGATGTGTTTCGATTCGGCAATAATTGATTATCGTTAGTTATAATCGATTATCTGCACATTGGTTTTGAGTGTGGTTTCGAGAAGAATCAATTATCTGGAATGATAATCGATTATCCCTTCTTACGTGATATTTTTGGGTAAATTTCACTAAGATAATCGATTATCTTAAGTTATAATCGATTATCATAGTGCATTTTGGTGAAAATGGTGAATTTGATGAAGAATGGACGTGGACCAGGCCTGAGGAGCTGTGGAACATGATGATAATTAGAGATTGAGGTTAGTGGTTATGTTTAGGATTAGATTGACTTGTGGTTGAGAATGGAGCATGAGTGAGTGTTGGGATGTACTTGAGTATGTGATTGATGAACATGAGAGTGGAGGATAAGTCTACTTGTTGTACCTCATAAATTCTGGTTCTATGTGCGAATATGTGCTTCCTTTTGCCTTGTGTGCATTGGAAGGAGATGATCTGTAGGGGAGGCTATATATGTCCTATAGGGGAGGCTGTCGGTGGGCTGTAGGAGCGGCTATAGTCGGTGAGGTAGCGTACAAAAGTAAAATGGATTCTTTCTACTATAGTATTATGGTACGATGATGCTCATGGTGTTGTTCATGGCTGGGATAGTCATGATGGTGGTGTATCTGTGATGATGATCATGGTACTTGAGATGCTCTAGGTGTTGCTATGTTGATAGCGATGTTACTATAATGGTTATAGTAGGTAGTTAGCATAGGTGTTAATGGGTAGATAGACCAAGGGTCTAAGTGTGAGATGTTGGAGATGACATCAACGGTTAAAGATCGAGGATTGAGTAATTCATTATGTTTGAATTGTTTATGTTAGAATATTAGGAATCCTATTGTTATTAATTCCATGTATGAGGTGTCTATTATGATTGATATAATGATGTATCTTGTTGTGTGTTTGATTATGGTTGATATAATCGTAAGTGTTTGATTATGGTTGATATAATCAGTATGTATGTATCTAGTTGTTATGATTGTTTTATCGGTAGCTTACCTCATACATGTTTGTGTTTGTGTGTTTGTGAATGAAATTATCGGCGATAATCATATAATGCGTTATACGTGAACAGATAATGTTATAGATGTTCGAGAGACATGATTGATTCAAGAGAGGATGAAGAATAACCTTAAGATTTATTTAAATTTATTTTGTTTTACAAGTTAAGATAATATAATTAGAGTATTTACTTTGTTATTTTATTGCTCAAAATAGCATAAAATTTGAATTTTACTAATTTTTAATAATCCTTTTGAGATCTCAAAAATTACTAATTTTTACTAATATTGCGCTACGTGGTTATTTCGTTTTATTTTTTAATATTTGGAAGTTATCAAAGGGGAAAAGTAAACACAGATTTTGAAATAAGGGGTTTTCTTTTTCCGTGTGTTGATTGGGTTTGACAGTCATCTCGGTGGAAAAGTCACGTTAGTGGGGTGAGATGGCTGTGTGCTTTCAATGCTACTTACGTGTGAAATGTTCAGTGAGGAATCTTAGAAAAGACCGTTCAAGTAGGACAAATAAAAAAAGCAAAATTATTATTGATAATGTAAAATAAAAAAAAGAAATAGTTGTATTTAAGGCTGAATTCATTTAGGTTGTTGTTAATCCAACCCTTTTAAAAGTCCCATATTGAGGGACAAGTGCAAGTAGGTATTAAGCAGTGACTTTTGGTTGTTCATTGGGAATCGACATTCTTGAATTCATTTTATTTCCCTTGCCATTAATTGAACTTAATTTAATTTTTAACACCTATTACTGTTTTTGAAGAATCAAAACTCGTTTATCGTTTTAATAGTTAAGTAAGTGGTCCTGTTTTTCTCTCTGTTCTTGTTTTAAAATTCTGATTCTGCAAAATATTCATTTTCAATTAATTTAAAGGAGTGACAACCAACTTGAATGAGTCTTGATAAGGATCTACATTAATAAACCATCATAAAGTAAGTTCCTACTTACCAAATAGAGATGTGAGTCCTTATGGAGGATTGAACCTTTAATGTCATAAACATCCAAACCTTACAGGTTTGACAGGGTCAAAAGTATACGTTCATTGGTAGATATTTTACATTAGCACATAACTTGGTTATAATAACTACAGTAGAAAAATAGAACACTTAAAACACTAAAAAGATTTATCCAAGTGACAATTAGGCAACAGGAAAAAGAAAAAATAATCCAAAAATTACATCACACTAATGTTTTGTTTACATTAGATGATTTGTGGAAGATGATTTGGAAGAGAATGATTGAATGGATTTGAAAAGATTTGAGGGTAAATTTTGTGTTGTTTATTTGAGCGAATTTGGAGGAAATTGAAAGTAGATTTGGAAGTAAAGTTTCTGAGAATTAGTGTAGAATTTGATTTATCTCACAGATTTAAAAAATTTATTTAATATGTAGAAATTAAAGATTACCAAAATATTTCTAATTATAAAAATAATATAAAATGATAATTTTTAATGTTATATTTAATTGTAAAAAATTTTATAAGAAGAAAAAAATTAAAATTAATTATTAAAATGTAAAATTATGAT